CTTACCATTTCAAACGAAAAACGTTTCCAGGGGATGCAAGTTTCATAATTATAGACAAGTTCATGTTTCATCATATAATATTACGGTGACAAATCGACGTGAAAACCGCAGTATTGGCGACTCCGGAGGTTAGTAATATTTTGACGCAAGTAGCTCATTTTTACGCTTTTTATTAGATGAATTGGGAAGGGTTCTGAATTTTCATCTGAGCTAGAGGATAAAGTACAGACAAAGATTAACTTGCGTCATATTTTAAGCTATATCCATTGTACACGATCTACTTTAATATTCCTGGTATCTCCACGGCTATTTTTAGCTTTCATTTCATTCATCTAATTTACATATATATGGATTTTAATATTGTATATCGATGGATCCACCCGACAATGGGATATTTTCGATTTATTTCGAGTCATATAACAATAGGACGCCGTGAAAATCATGCTGGGGCTCTTTACGTTGATATTTCGTTGGAGAACGCGTGATATTTTGGCTATAAATCGAGTTGCAATGGCCAGTTTCAACGAGATCGACGAGAAAAAACACTCCATTGGCTGATTGAATAGTACATCCAAAATTTATGTGTATATGCCATTGATACTGATGTTCTGCCCAATGTGATAGCTCATAGTGAAAAAATATGTCGAAATTATCTCGAGAATTTCGATGAAAAATGTAAAGATTCCGTGGTATGTGTGATAGTCGCGACGAAGGCACGCCTGCGCACGACAATAATTCATGTATGCAAATTATCACTACATGTCTATTAAGCTTGTTATGAACTTGTTAATGATCTATTTTTGAAATTGTTAATATTTTTAGCATGTATACCGATCTAGATTTCATTCTATTTACAATAGTTCAAATTATCATCGGATTGCAGGTGCAGTTGTTTTAATGGTGCGAGTTACGCATCACGCAAATTATAATTGACCACGCTGTATACGTGATAGACTATCTATATATTAATATATGACGTGTATAACAGACTAGTTATCCAGTACATATTAGATACTTAGTCATTTTGAAGCGTTTTATATGCACCCATGTGATTCCTGTTTGTGAATGATTTTATTGCTTTGCACGGTCAACCACTTCGAGTAAGTCGCCGCGGTGTTCCCGGGTCTCGCCGCGGTGTTCCCTGGTCTCGCCGCGATGTTCGATGTAGTTCTCGATGAGTGATAACAACATAGTATTCTGATTCAAATCAATTCAATATTTTCATCTTGTCGGTAACTGTAGCCCGATGAGAATGAAAATATTATTAGACACACATAACTATGTTCGCCACGTGTACATGTTTTTATATATTTGAAATCATGATCGATCAATAAGTCAAACATCGCACGTGGCCGCAACAATTGGTCATTACGACGTGATACTATGTGTCATCCACAAGTTTAACGTATATTATCCAGTAATATTATCATGTTTTCATGTATGATATAAAAAACTACATATAATTATAATTGCCATTGTGCACGTTGTAAGTCTGACAGTGAACGGTAAAATGGCGGCTATTATTAGCAACAACATCTGCGTTGTCGATGCTTCGAATAGCAGCCAGCGTGTCACGTGTCACATATTGAAAAATATCAACGATAACAACTGGTATGTCTCCGACGAGAAAAAAAAAAAGTGAAGCATGTAGTTACAATTGATCGTATCGCCATTATTTGAGGATAACTTTATAAATGCGATACATTTTTATCATCAACCAAATTGCCTTTACTCAGGCTGGTTTTAACAAAACCTAAGGAATCTTGTTTTTTAAGGTACAGTGTTGAGTTCTACTCACAAATCTCAGGGAAAATGGTAAAGACGATATTTTTAAAGTTTTAAGAGTTTTAGTAAATAACTATTTATTTGGGAAGTAGTCCAACAATGAACAATATTGTGTTTTTTGTGTGTTTTTTTCCACACAGATGGGCCAAATATTACGTAAAAAATTACAGTTACTCCATAATTAATCTATCTCAAAACATCTCTACATCTATCTCTACATTTTGACAATACTTCAGGTCTAAATTTATATATAAAATGTTTCACCCTATGCCATTCACATCCTATGCCATTCACATCCCATGCCATTCACATCCTATGCCATTCACATCAATTTAAGATAATGGTAGATGCCTTCACCATTGGAACCAATAATTCAAAATCTGACAAATCATCGCAATTTATACTATAACTAAAAATTTCTCGAAACAATAATATCGATACTTGTAATATTCTTCACGCCAGTACATGTATTCTCATATGCGTACAGGATAAAGGGAATTTCATTTTATCAGTGAATTTCTACTCAATATTGTACTATTCCATTATCTCTATTCGGCAACCAGTACATGATTGAGAGAGAGGATTTCTGTATCTGGGCACTGTTCGATATACGCGTGGTCGCGGAGAAGGAAATGCGAACACACGACAATCACACTGACGCACTATATACTTAGTAATAAGAGCAGATTTTCACTTCACGCGGGGGTACTGCTCCAGTGGAAACTGACAACATACTGTAGACACGGACGCACGGGCCAGTACATGTACTAGCATGGTACTGTGACAAATAACCAAATTTGAAAATTCCCAAAGGAAATGTTGTTCTTCTCAATTTAAAAGGTTAGTAATAAGCCCACTCTCATTACCATGATTATAACATAGTCTGAAATGTGGTAACTAATCCGACATTAAAGTGCATTGTCTCCGCCGGCAATAGTAATCGTTGTCTCCAGGGGCGTGCTTCGATCACATATATCATATGCATTGGAAGCATTTATTTACTCTGTCAAATCATGATAGGTCAAGGGGGTCAATGGTTCAGCTCTAGTAGGAAAGTGACTACGTTATCTCGTAAAGTCTTCTACCAGTGATTGAATTGCCAAGTTGGATGCAGTATCGTATATATCGTATTGCCAAACAATAGGTGATTTTCCGTACAATTGCGAGATCTCGCGAGATGTATGAAAGACGCGCGTCGAACGTCTGCCGCAAAAGTCGAACGATTTGATTTTGAACTAGAATTTCTTTATTTCATAACTCACACCGACCGGCCGATCTTCGACAGAGGAATATTGCTTTCGAATACCCTTACTTAATCGAAATTGCCTATCATGAAATGTGAACAGCACATTATTAATCATGGAAATGCCCCCTAAAATACTTCGCGTTTGTCGAATCCCACGCAATGTTTGACGCCACTACGACGCTATGACCTTTGTTTGTCCTGTTTTTACGTTCGATTTCACGCTCAACGCGTGATTCTCGCAGTAAACGGAAAATGGTCTATTACGAGTGGTACATTTACCTTAACATAAATGCGTGCCCTATACTATTGTTCCACTGCACACGTACTTACCGACAAGGCCTGTATTTGGGAGCTATGATTTGCATATTCTAGTTCACGAGCAAATGTGACCTTTTTTGAAAAGGAAGGGCACGTTGATTGGTGAATTTCTGGAGGCTATTGAATACTAAGGCGTATAGGCGTATTTACCACAGCTTTCTCGTGGTAACAACCAGTTGCCGCATAGTGGTTGGGAGTTTTACGACGATAGTTTGGAATAGTCAAACTTGTAGGTATCAAATGAACACTGACGTCAAGAATTATCAGGAAATATCGATTAATAACTTATCTGTGTGTTATAGAAAAATGGCTTACCATAGAAATAGTTCCAAAGTTTCCATTACAAATTTAAACAAATATCGCCTATATTTATGCATCTAAATGCCATTTTCGCGGGAACTTTGGGTTATTGTTTACACATATGGAGACATTTTACGCATACAAAATATTAACAAATGAAAGCGTAGTCATCGATCTCGTTTACAAGAAAATTGTGTGTTTTTGACGCAGTTAATACACTGGACTCGATGGCAAAAATAAACCATTATGAAATTTGAAATATAAAAAAATATATTGCTGAAAGGATCTCTATATCACGAGAACATCGATTTCTCGAAATAAAATAAAATAAAATAAAAATAATATAAAATAAATAAATAAAATGATCGCTGATTTTTTGTTAAATTTAAGATGCACCGAGTTGTCACGTGATTGTCATGTGAAAACGTCACAAACATGGATGTAATAATAATAAAATAAATCATTAGAGTTGCAGACGAAATATTCAACTCTAATGGAGTGTACATTGTATACATTGCATTGTGGAGAAACTCACATTGACAACTAAATATTCCCAACGCCCACACTGCCATCATCCGATACATGTTACACAATAGAGAGATAACACTATTATAAATCACAACTATCAGAATTAGAGGTTTTTGTGACGTCACAGCTTTACATTATCACACGGTAATGTAAACCTCTATTGGCAATTCAAATCAACAAAAAAGTCGCATTGTTTAATTATGATGGTGGTTATTTATGAAAACAAGAATGAATCATCATAGCATCATGTTAGATTCGGAGAAGGGTTTGGATGCGATAAGTATCGTCTGAGAGTGCAACGTTAATTACTCCTCCGAGCAAAAGCCCGCCCTCTATGTAAATTATTCATTTCACAGAACGAGCCCTGTTCGAGGGCGCACTTCACACATCAACACTGATCACTGATGCACCATAATAATCAGTTAATCAGACTTGTTTTGTTCAATCACGATCATTATTAACCAATGACGATATCGCTCAATCTAGATCCTTCCAATCACACTATATTTTGTACATAATTTTCTCCAAACCGAGTACGGTGACCGCATATTTTTATTCAATTTTCTTCATCCTTGTGGCATGAAATATCAAATATGTAAAAATGACGAAAATGAAAATATTTTTTTTCTGTTTGGCGTTCTGCCTTAAATGAATGCGCGCGAGAAAAAAATCATGATAACCATTAAGTGTTTAAAGCTTCTATTTCAGCAAAGTCGTCAAACAAATCATAGTAATGTTTGTACAAATCAAGTGATCCCATGGCATTTAGAATGTATACACATTTATAATTTTTAATTATTATTTTCTACAGAAACCCATCACCATGGCAACTAACAATAATATGACAGTTCCTCACATCATTGAAGATATTGATGACATCATAACAAGATGGGTTCTCGCAGATCATCCCCGTGATAAATGCGAAGTAGATATTGTTAGAAATGACTTGAAATTCACCCAAATTGGAGATATTGAATACCATCGAATACAAGACTCTGCTTCCGAAGCTAGGGAAGTGGACCACGTGACGACTTTCGTTAACAACACGAGCAGTGAACAAAAACACCGAATAACCACCCAAAGGAGCATGCGATCTTCGTACTCATGGAGTTTGACGAGCGGACACACGTTTGGTGCGATGGGAGGAATCAGTTTAAAACCACCAGGAGACTGCGTGGAGGCTGGGTTCCAGCTGGACAAACAGAAACATGAAGAAACTAGGGACGAAAGAGTTTTCGAGAAAATCAGATCAAGTACACTTGACTCGGAAATCACAGTCAAACCCAAAAAGAAAGTCAGTGTGCATTTAAAAACCATTGAGGAAGATTACGTTGCCAATTATACTATTCGATACCGAGTTAAAGGGACGGTTAAGGCTATAATTAGAGATAAACGCAACACAAACGTTGAAGGGGAAGCGCCAGAAATATTCGGTAGTTTGGAAGGTTTTCGATGCACGTCTGAGGATAGATCTTCATGCAGAGTACAATTTGAAAATAAAGGCATATTCATGTGTAAACGAGAACTGAGTCAAGAATTTCAAGTCACAGAACAAGATATTTAACTGTAAAATGTTTACCACGAAAAGACATAACACCGTGATACCTGCCATGGTACTGGTGTTTCAAGTACCTGTACAACTTAAAGTGCACCCTCTAGAACAGTCCTGTTAAAAACAACAATGTTCGGCGTAGTGGGCGAACTTTGTTTGTGAGAGCAGTTTTATTTACTTTTTCCTCACCCGAATTGAAACAAGTTTAAGTCATGTAATTTTTAGTGAAACCAAATAAAGCTACCGCGTAAATGATCTCAAAATATCCGCAAACATTTCTAGCCGGGAAACTTGAAAGAGATCGTAAAACCCACCTTATTCTTCACTATGGCATAATGTCACCACTTTTCAACTAGACCATCAAAGTCAAAGCGGCGTTCAGGAGGAAAGTGCGGTAAACTCGTGGATGGAACACGATTGGATAAGGTGTTCATTCGAATTTTATTATAAGGACACAGGTATTTGCTTATATTGTTTGGGAATGTTGTAAATCTGAAATGAACATTCAGCAAGAATATTATAACCGACATGTTGTAATTTTCATCCTAACGTCTCTCGGTCGAGAATAAGAAATATTCGAAAAATGTTGTATGCTGGTTATTTGTAACAAATTTCCGAAAAAAGCAGGTGAATCAAATACCAATCCATCTATTGTGACTTTGTTAGTAATATTGCACGATATATGTACAGACACCCTTTTCTCTGAAGTTGGCGACCACACATTTCCCTGAAATCATGCTACTCCTGGGTGGTGGCGCCCTCACATGATCTTTGTGAAATTTCTGCCTAGAGACAAATAAATTGACTCGCACATACTGGATGGAATGAAGATGCTAATATTGTTTTGTTTTTAGTGTTTATCTGTTTTTTTTATTTAATCATCATAATAATTGGTCAATTCTGTGCATTTTATTTAGCATATCATTAGTATTGCACTCATGGAATTGTCACCCACCATACCACCCATAGATACCTACCCACCCGACCAACCTTCAAACTACACACCCATCCACTCACTCAGATACTTGTCGCCGATGGCGCTGTTTAATGAGGGATAACAGCCGTTTCCTTGAACGCTGCACACCAGAAAAAGAGCGTCTTATAACGACTACATTATATATCGAACAAGAGCTGTCGAGGTTCTGCATCTGATTAATTTTAAAATCTGGCCCAATCGTCGCCTTAAATACTGAATGTCTGGGCGATTTGATCACAATTCACAAAAATAATGCCCTCATCGCATCTGGCAATCATCGTAAATCTGGATAATGTGATGAAAATAAAAGTACCATTCTGATCAGGTAACAAAAGGACGCGATTTGTCACCGATATCCACTAAACCGCGGATATATGAAAAATTGTATCAGATAATCACAGTCTTTGGAAATTATTCAATATAACCTGACGCTAGTATTGTTATATTCTGTTCAACCCAAGATCGAGTTTCGTGAGATCGATCGACGTTTTCGCTCTGAAGACATATCCAGAAATACTTGATAATGTCATACAATTATGTTCGTGAATTTGGGGACATAAATTAATAGTGATAAAAGGAAAGGAACCAATCGCATTTAAATATTACAAGTTTTGAAATATTGCTTTTCACGTAAGTTTAGAACTGTCATTAATAAAAATAACTGAGAATGAATATTAACCTTATCATATTACTGTACCAGCGACCGCTGCAGGCTTGACTAGAAGAACCGTTTCGAGTTACTCTCATTGATTGTATGTTGGCGATCCGCTCCGCTAGGATTGCCCTTATAATCACTTTTGTCGTTTTGTGTGTGTGTGTGTCTGTGTGTGTACATTTCCAGTGTTCACTATTATTTCTTCTGTGATTTTTTTGGCTTGGCCGATTTTGTTCAAACTTGGCAGGTAGGTCACACCTTAACCCTAGTTATAAGGAAAAATCTGAAAAATTTTTTTGGCCCACCGTTGCCATAGCAACAGCCAAAAAACTGATTTTTGGATAGCTTCGCGCCAAATGTATCTCCTCCTACAAATTTGTGATAAAACACTTCAGACATAGCTCATTCTACTCAGCTTGAGTGTGGGCACAAAGTTACCATTTGAATTTTTGATATCTGTTTTCATTACCGAGAAATTTGACCCTAAAGTTGGGGTAACTTTTCACCAGCAACGGCTTTTAACTCCTCTGTGATTGTTTCGGCTCGGCCGGTTTTGTTCATACTTCACAGGTAGGTCGTGCCGTCACTAATTGGAAAACAATCCTGGCCCACCATTGCCATTGCAACATCCAAAAACTGATTTTTGAATACTTCACCCC